TTTTTTTTGAGTTTTGTTGCGGGATTTATATGTGTTAGATATCTGCTACCTTTCGATCTATTTTTCTTTCTCTATATATATATATATATATATATATATATATATATATATATATATATATATATATATATATATATATATATATATATATATATATAAAAGAAGGTATCAATTAATTTAGTTTTAATAATTTATTAAAAAAATTAAATAAAAAAATAATTTTTTAAATTAATAATATTATACAAATAATATAAATCTAATTTCGATTAAAATATTTAAATAATAATTAAATGAGGAGTATAGAGAATTGGAATCTAGCTAGTAAATATTCTTTTACTTATAAGTATTTGATTTTCGACATAGTACATATATATTATATACATGTTAGAAGTGAAATTTATATAAATTTTATATGTTTGAAGTGAAAATTTGATAATTTGAGATGTCTCATATCCATTTATGAAGATAAATAATTAAAAGTAAAAGAAAATTAATAGGATTACCTTACCCACTTTCTTGGGACGATTATATATTACCCTATATATTTAGATTATATTAGTATCACAGTATCTGTATTTAAAAAAAATTATATTAAGATCTTTATAATTTTGAAGATAAAACAAGTAACTTCATTTGCTATAGTAACATTAACTGTATTGACGAAAAAACGTAATATATGATATCACGTATCAAATCAATACGAATGTGATGAACAAGAAGATAATTTTAATATCTATTTTATTTTCAACGCGTGAAATATTTAAATCATTTTTTCCTGATAAAATCATTAGAAATGGAATATATATTAAAATTATCTTTTTAATATATATATATATATATATATATATATATATATTCATAAGAATATTTAAGATTTATGTCTTTATGCGAAAGCAACAAAAAAAAAAAAGAGAATAATTGCTTACAAATGTTGAAGTGGCTAAAGATCACGGAAACAAAGCTTTGGTTCGGTTTTCGTGGGTCGAAGCCTGTGATGGGAAAGCCCATAATTGTTCTTGGCCTCGTAATAGGGATTGTCGAGATTATAATTGGATTTTTGTATTAAGTACTCTAAATTAAGTTTAGCACATATATCCCTCTAAATATAAGAGCTTGCATTTATGTCATTAAAATTTTATCTAAGATAATTGCTAGCTAAAACTCTAATTTTCATCAATATTTCCTTTAAAAAAATATTATTATGATAAGCATGTTAGAAGTATTAAAAGTAAGTTACAAATTTTAACAAAAAACAAATTAATGTTAACCATGATTAGATGTGATTAACTCTAGTTTCTGACATGGTTGTTAATGACAATATATATATATATATATATATAATCATCACATAAATTATAATTTAATATTTCAGTACTTATGATTAGAAAAAAAATATATCGCTAATGCTAATCCCAATTCTCGATGAAAAAGATGTACGATTATGTTAGGATAACTAAACGTAAAACTATATTATATCGAATGAACATGAATATTAAGACTTGACAATTTTATTTTCCAAAGACTTTAGGACTTTATTGTTTGTATGATCATAAAAACCAAAGAAACAAACAAACAATGAATGAAGAATGCAAGATTTCTTTGTTTAGCTTTTTATCTTAAGAACATGTATAGCTCTCCTTCCTTTAGGAAAAAGCTTTAGTGGATGAGTACACCATATGACATAGGTCCCATGACTTGCAAAAATGAGCAAGTCAAAAAGCAGCTACCATTAATTGAAAACAATGAAAGAGGCATCTAACTTTAGGAAATGTGAATTATTAATCATAGGTAAAGGAATCCATGGAAACCACAGGATAGAAAGCTGGTCAGTGGTCCAACTTCCTATTCTAGATGTTCCTCCTCATACTCCTTGCATGAATATAGATAATGACCAATAGCTTGTGGTGCCAAATTGGTCTTGAAAGTCCTCACTGTGGCTTTCTATCTAACATCACAAAGTTCCAATCTTTTCTTTCCCAAAAGTTGATGCATAGTTTTCCATGAAGATGGCGACGAAAATGAAGGATGATTTCTTTATGATTTCACATTCTTTTGATTTGTTCCTTTTCTTTGTTTACCGATCATCAGCTTTCTTGTTCGACATGGTAGTCAATAGGCTAAGAACAAAAAATCTTGTCATGTTACTATGGATTGTGACATAAAATATTCATCCAATCATCTAGAATTCGAGCTATCTATTTCTTTTTGCTTCTTTTTCTTATCTTAGATATTTAAAGATGTATGTTAAGTATTGAAGGACTCTATTAAATATACGTTCAACATTGGTCTTTGGAGTATATGAAATCTAAATCGGTTAGGAAGGTTCTCTCGATATTAGTTTCGCTTGTATTGCATAGGAAGGTTTCGAAAAAGAAATATTTTTAAGTGAATCAAATAATGAAGCTCGAAGAATGTATTATTGCATTATTAGGTTAGATTTTAGAGTTTCAAGAAGTATATGAAGTTTGGATCGAAGAAGAAACATTTTTACGTGATTGAAAAGATGAAGCTCAAAGGATGTATTATTGCATTATTAGCTTACACAACACCTCGATTCGATCTAATTAGTTGGGTATGGAGACCAAATATCTAATTTACGTATGAGTCATTATCCAACTAGACTCGAGTCTTACGACCTATGTCACCATGATCCGGTGGCTTTTTACGTCAACCAAATCTTTCATCGCATATGCATGTCTCATTCCCTCCTTTCTCTATCATCCATTCGAGTCATGCATGCTAAGTCCGAGCACTTCACACGAGGCCAACAATTAGCAATGACTTGCACAAAGTCTATTTGAAGACTTTGACCATAAGAGGTATTGATCCAAGGTTGCATGAGAGGCAAAAAGATTTAATCCTAATATTTGATTTGGATTAGCTTCTAACCTAACTAAAATCACGTCTTATCTTATGATTGCAAAGAAAGATACAAAACTATGCATATGCTTGTGGTTTGATCGCTTTAATATCTTAATTACCTTAGCTTAGCTTAGTGACTTTTAGTGGACTTGTAGTTAGGATTCCTAACATGGAACTATTATGGGGTGTTACTTTTAAATGCTAAATATTATTCTACGTCAAGTGCGATCGGACCATACGCATCATCTTTCGCAAACGAGGATATATTTATGGGAAAAAACTCAAGCTTATACTTTTTATTTTTTCAATTTTTCCTCCATTCTATTTTTTACAATAGTAATTTTTTAAAATATTATGACATTAAAATAAAATATATGAGTTGATTGTGAATATAGAATCTTACGGTTAAGAGTCAAAATCTTTATAAATCAAGTTATCCGAGTCGTTTAAGAAAATATATAAAAAAATAATATAGGAATAAAGACGTGATCGACACTTTAGCATCGTATGGATGACACCTCAATAACATCTACCTGACACCTTCCAAAAACCTTAGTTCCATGATTTTTCGACATCATATGGTTGGATCGGTGGAACTGTTATCGTATCTCGGATTAAGCACGATAGAATTATGATCATGCTTGAGAGAAATATATAACTACTCTACGGTATCAATCACGACAATAATAATCATAAGAGTCTACTATAATTCCATGTGCATTCCCCCGTACACTTTAATATGATAAAAAAAACTTGAATCATTTAAACTAGATTTAATTATCATAGAATATAAGTCAAAAATGACTCCGATATAATTTTATAGGAATCAATATTTTGAGGACCAGACGAGCTAATCACATATTAAGATATGACTAAGACAAACTCGAAAAAAAAAAGACATGATTGGCTCATAATTCACTTTCAATCCAGACAATCAAAAACTTATTTAATAATAAATAATTTAAAAGTGATGAAAGATTTGACACGAGATCAACAATGAACATATTTAACAATTAAATTTAAAATATTCAGCAACCAAGCTAGTTACCTAAATGATTACAAAGTTTACCAATCCACTCCTACTCCTCCATATGAAAAGCAATAGTGGAGGAGAGACGGCGAACTTTTGATCGAGGAATTCTATGCATGTGTTATGCAAGTAAGACTAGCAACTCGTCATATCATAATATTGATCATCCAAAGTTAACCTTTACTTTGGTGTGCTGTTTTGTTTGTATACTACTTTGGTATCAAGTTAAAGTGATAGCCCTCCAAGTTTTACCACATACTACTAAATTTAAACCCACAAACGCATCACCTTCATCACTCCGACGTCACTCTTCTGTCTTTGTACCACCGTAAAGAGAGAGGCAGGTGGTAGTCGGACAATCTCATTTATTTGCATTTAATACAATGGTGGAAGGATAGCCTTCGAAATCGGGAGTCTATGTTTCAAAGGCAATATGTTTTATATTTAGAAGATGGAAGGAAGGAAGAAAAGGAGTTTGATGAGTCCAAAAGTTTGAGCTGATCAAAAGGCAAACACATGTAGTAGTGGTGGAAATAAGTGGCTTGTGAATTGCCATTATGACTAGTTTAGAATAGATATTCATTAATTAGAGGTTGTATGACAATTATCCAATTATCACTTGGGTAAGATAGATATCTCGAATATGCCTTTTGTTTTTGTTTATGCACGCATTAGATGAAGAAAGATTTAAACTTAATTTGATCGATTAAGGAAAACTATGGAAGTGTGACTAATGAATTTTAAGGCTATATTAAATATGAACTGTTGAGTTAAACATAATAGATCTTATATTGTGTGTTATTTATTAGTATTTTTTTTTTTATAAAGGGAAAGAGATGAAGGTTGATCTTATGACCAGAATAATGTTACTATTGATAAGAGTTCAAATAAAATTTAAATTTTATTTAGGAATATAAAATTTAGAAGCTAAATATCTCGATTTAGTAATACTAGGAAGAAGAACCTAAAGTTCATTTAGGATTGAAGGATAAGCAATTTCTACAAGTTATTGTTGATGTAATCATTAATAATAAACTATATATATATATCGATATTTTTATTTATGAATCATTAGATATAATTTTGATAAAAGATAAAGAGAGAAAAATGATCATATACTATAATATGAATATGTTGGCAGATAGATGTTGTGAATGGAAAGTGTGATGTAAGAAAAGGGTATAAGAAGATCTACCAAACTAAAAAGATGAATATTCTTTATTTAAATAGAGATATTATATTACATAGAGGACTTGTATTATTCCTCAAAGCATTTGAAATATTACATCTTATTATTATTATTATTATTATAGATGAAAAAATATTGATAAAGTTATAAACCGATGTGAGTGGATCATTTTCGAGCCATAGATATTTTCTTTGCATAAAGATCGATATGGGATCATTCACAACTTAGTCTTTTCGATACTTAAATTAAATATGCTAGAGTTTAAAAGCTGAAAAGAGAATATCTAATCTCGTTAATTATACTCATGCTTATCTTTTATAATCGATCTTCCTCTAAATATTTACGATTATAAAATGATCTTTGTAATAAAAATATTTTGGTTCGAAAAATATTTTTTTATTTTCATGTCATTGATACGATAAATTCATTAATTAGATTTTTTGTCATTAATAGATGAGAGATATTAGCTAATTTGGTTGGTAATATTTTCATAGTTTATTATACGATCGTTAGCTCGAATTTTGTCTATGTCATTTATCTTTTATATTATATATATACATAATAAAAAAATTAATTTAGTATATCTTATAATGAACTAATAAGAAAAAGAAATATCGTATCAATTTGGGATGGAAATCATAATTAAACTCTTTTTGCTTAAAAAAGACAAACAAATTGCTCTTAGAAATCAATAAAAAAATGCTTTAAATGATTCCACGAAGTCAACATTTGTGAACGCCGCATTCCATCGAAACGAAGTCGTCCATTGTTAGACTCGAAGGTTGACCGGTCCTTCTTGTCTCCTCTTCCTCCCATTGGAGACTTCGGCCGGTGAATTAAAGCCCCGCCTGTGGCAAACATGGCGCCGTGTCAGCTCCATTTCTTTGACTCACTAAGCTTCACAAACGAACGAGTGAATGTGAACAACCATTGTTGACCTCGATGTCTATCCTTAGCTCCATTTTGCCTCTTTGTCATGGGAACCCAAACAAGTCATTCATGTTCCCACGTCCGGACACTGTTTTGACTCGTTTGGAACAGTAGGAATCTCTTTTAGATGATCGAGAATTCATTCAAACGATGTTGATATTATATATATATATATTTGATTTATGATGAAGAAAAAAAAAATTCTTGATTTAGTTATTGATCAAATTCTATTAATTCCGACTCATAGTAAATATTTATCGACAATTAACTATTATTATTAAATCATTAAAAAATCATGATTAATTTACTTACGATACTTAGTTGAGACGAATATTCTTTACTTATTATAATACAATCACTTATACCGGTCGGAAGACCTCATTCAATTATTTTTACACCGAAAACATTAGCTCGATGATAATGTATTTGATACACTTTCGAAGAATATAAATTTTACGCCTAAAAAAATTTGAGAAAAAAAAGCTACTGTAGTAGCATATTCCATCATTACTCAAAACAGGACTAAACTCTAGTCTTTGGTGAAGAACAGAATCTAAAGACTTCAAGAAACCTACTTAGAATGCCAAAGCAAACACAGAAATTTCTACCTCAAAAGAAAAGAAGAAAAGAAGAAAAGAAGAAATAAAAGGACAGCTCATAATGCCATTTGAGTCTTCTATGGAGTTGTTGCTGTCGACCTTAAATAATAACTTGGCACCATGGCACGTTGGGTTGGAGGGTATAAATACCACTCTCTATCCATTGGTTGTGATGGAAAGCAAGAGAGAGGAGAAGAGAGGCAAGAGTGGTAACTTCTCCGAGATGGTGAGAGCTCCTTGCTGTGAGAAGATGGGTCTGAAGAAGGGACCATGGACAGCAGAAGAAGACCAGGTTCTGGTTGCCTACATACAGCAGCATGGTCATGAGAACTGGCGCGCTCTCCCCAAACGAGCAGGTAATCCTATCAACTTCACTTTGTGTGTTCTTCACCTGAGGGAAGCAGTCTTATTGTTCGATGTTTTCCTTCAACGAAATATAGAGCTGATACTGCTCGAGTCCCGTAACATGGTCGGACTCCTTTGAACTTCAGGGCTGCTGAGGTGTGGGAAGAGTTGCAGGCTTCGGTGGACGAACTATCTCCGTCCTGATATCAAGAGAGGGAACTTTACCAAGGAAGAAGAGGAGGCCATCATCAAATTGCATGAAATGCTTGGCAATAGGTAAGCTTCAGTAATTTTCTGCGCCGGGTTTGGTTCTGTGAAGAAACATAGAAAAGAGAAGGATTTATTGTTCGGCGTTTTGTGTTTACCAGTCTCAGATTTTACTTGAAAGAAATTAAGCTACCATAAAAATGGATCAAGCAAGCAAGAAGCAGAAGAAGAGCTGTGCTTGTCAGGTTTGGTCTGCAACATTAGATGGGCAATAAAACAGTAAAATCGTCCAATTCCAAAAGATTCCATTTTGTTTAGCCTTTTGCCGACTATTGTGGTCTTCCAAGTTGATGAAATTTGTTCGACACATCTTTCGATATCACAAAAATCATTTTCTTCATCTTGGAGTTTGTCAGCCCATATAAAAATTCTACCTTTGTTCTTGTCAAGTTTGGCTTGCAACGTAAATTGGGCAAATAAAAGCAGTGAAAGCATCCAAAAGATTCTTAGTCTTTATCAACAGCTATTGTAGTCTTCCAGGTTGATGAAACCTATTCAGCACAATGTCCGATGCCACATGAATCATTTTTATTCACTTGGAGTTTGTCAGCTTCTACAAAAGTTTAAGAGATTACATGTGTGATGACATCTATAGCATCCATCGATCACCATTTACAAGATTGTTGTTGTTTTGTCTGCAGATGGTCAGCAATCGCAGCGAGGCTGCCTGGAAGAACAGACAACGAGATCAAGAATGTATGGCACACCCACCTGAAGAAACGAGTCAAACCGAATCAGACAGTCCAAGAATCCAAGCGAAGGAGCCGAAGTGATGTAGAAGCAACACGGTCAGGTGCTAAAGCCATCGACTTTCAAGCATTACAAGCTGCAACGCGACCAAAATTAGAGAGCCCGACTCCTCTTCCTGTGTCCCTAGAACAGTCCTACAGCGAGATCTCATCCTCTGTCACCATTTCGTCTAATAATAAGAGGGGAGAAACTAACAGTGCAGGGATTAAGGAAGAAGTTGTGGTTTCTTCAGCTCATCAATTCTCAGACATTGATCAGAACTTCTGGTTGGACGATTCCTTCGCGTCATTCTGCTCATCCAGTAACAAAGATGATGATGGAATAGACTTTTGGTTGCAGGTGTTCATGGAAGCTGGACACCTCGAGGAATTGCCTGAGATCTGAAATCACAGGAATTTCACACTTTTCATTTACATTTTCTACTGATGTAAGGTTAGCACCTGAAAACAGAGATGTTTTGTAGATAATTTCTTTTGTCATTTACCACAGGGAGAGACTCAAGATAGTATAATCATGACAGACTACAGATGAAAGAGATCAACATTTTTAAGGGATCTTTGAACAAGTGCAATTTAATCCAGAGGTCATTGCTTTTGCCATCTAACAATTCTGCCTGTGGTGTGCCTGTGATATTGCCAGTGTAAATTGTGGAAATGATTGCTCATTTGTGTTTCACTGAAACCATAAAATTTAATGTTTGTATAAAGATTGTATTAGCAGAAAATTTATTGAGCTACCATCCCCAGTAGTTTTCCTGCAAAATAAGAACAGTGAGATGGTAAATGTAAGTATAATTTCAGCTTGTTAATTACTTTGATTCCAAGTAATTATCTTGGCAATTATGTCTTGGTAAATGTGGAGACTCATTAGAGAAATGTGTTTGTTCTTAAATGCATTCAACTTAGAATTATCCTCAACTTGTATAAATTGGTGAAACATATGTTCCATGGATTGGAAAGGACATGAGCAAAAAGACATTAACTTTATCATCCCCACCAATCTTCCTGATGTTAAACTAATGTGTTCTGTCAAAACTTTAATGAACACACAATAAAATATATCATACTGCTTTCACAAGTCCTCAAAGATGATCATTTCAAACATCATCTGTTTTCACGGCTTGTTTAGCCGTCGCACCCTCTTTTGGAACCTCTTTTCCTTCCTTGTGACTAACCTAATCCAACCAAAAGAACATCTAAGCCTTTATCACCAATTCAAAGTTGCAGCTTTTCTTTTAGCTAAATGCAAAGTTCAGCTTTGAGTGTGCCTCTGTGGAAAGCAAAAGATTTAGAGGATCTAAAGATATTGTAGTTTTAGGAAGTGAGTGCATCAGAGTCTCTCTTCCATCATAATCTCTGGATTGTATATTACGTCCATCATCTAAAAGCAGGCACGAGGTTAAAGACGAGCACAGCTCGCCTTCCATTTCAAGCACGTCACTGTCTCCGCTCCACCATGAAAAGTGGGAGCACTGATTCCCATTTTTCTTCTCAGGACTCCAATCACAGAATTCCAAGACTGACTTCTCCGTCCTACAACCATTGATCTCGTGAAAACAATTCTACCAAATTTGACATCGGAATTAGATCGATTATATAGACAGTTTCGATTACGAGTTTAGATTTGAAATGCTAATCATTACACCATGGAACGTATTTGTGTTTTGATCATCTGTTCTTAGTCGATTCCAACTTCCAAGAACCACAATCAAAGTGCGTGGTCTCGGTTCCTATTAGATTCGGAACCATCTAACTATTGATCAGATTCTATTCCGATTTAATTCTAATTCGATTCAAATAATCGAATCAGCCTATGTTTTCTTGTCTTTGATGTTTTGGTGGAGTTGCTATGTCACACTTAGACTTTGGCATGGAAATTGACGAGGGAAAGTGTAACTCGTCGATCATACACACACGTCGGTGCTTCCCACACCGGTAAGGCCGCCCGAAAGAGCATCCACGCCGCCACACGGGTGATGCCTTCCTTGGAAAGGCCTTCCCATATTGATACTATCCACATGCAGAAAGAATAAGGTGCAAATCCAAAACATATGATGTAGAAATCATTTAGTTTATGTATTATTTGAATTTTTTTTATTAATTTAGAGATATTTTACATATGACATAAGTTGTCATGCCTATTCAAGTCAGTAAATAAATAAATATAGAAAAAAGAAGAAATTAAATTTGTTATTGATTTAAGATTTAAAATTTTTATCTCTACAAATATAATTTTTTTATTAATCAATAATTTTTTAAAATCATTTTAAAAATTAATTCAAGAATATTATAATATTTTAAAAAGAAAAAAAAGAATATTTAATATTTAATTTGATATGATTGTAATTATTTTTATTTTTTTATTTTGATACTTAGCCTATAAAAAGGACTAAAAGATTATAATGGATACTCAGAAATTGTTCAGTAAATTATATTGTTCTCATGTGTTAGTGGTACGAGATCAGATTCATTTTTTTTATGAAATGATTTCATCGTTTACGTGAGAAACTTACGAAGGTATTAGACCTTCATAAGTTAAAATTATATATCTTTTGATTATTATTATTCTCATCCTTCTAGTCCTCTATCATAAAAAAAAAATAATATTTACTACAATTAAGCTGTTAGCGGTAAATTATGGATCTACTCCTCTTTCCCTATTAAGATCATCACTTATAACAACGTGGATACAAAAGATATGAGGGAGCATTAGCTTTCCTCCTATTGTATATAGTTGGATTCAGTCATTTTGATAGAAACTTTACTTGTTTAGATATGCTAACCTTTATAGGTTGCTGGGCTCTCCTCACACTAGAACATGGTTGGAAGCGAATATCCTTTTTTTTAGTATAGATTGATTCATAATATATAATTTTTTTACTTAAAATAAATTTATAAAAATTAAAAAATATTATTACATGAAATAATGTATATAATGCTTACACATAGATTCGAGTTTGAAACTTATTTAATAATGCTCAAATCCAAGTTTGAAACATATCACTTGTATAATAATGTACTAATCAACTCAGATGTCTCAATAAAGATTAAAAAATAATTATAAAACCACTTGTATTAATTACTATACAAATAATTTAAGAGAAAATATTATTTATATAACGTGTGAGATTTTTAAGGGAGTTAGTAAAATTATAGATCATACTCTTATATTTTACTGGTATTGTCACTTTTTTTAATTTTTTTTCAAAATGAAATTCGTCATCCCATTTTTCTATTTTTTTAATAAAAAATCTCAATCATCCTCTTTTAGATAAAAATAAATAATAAAAATTGATATAATCAAATCAAATGGGCAATTAAGATTGAAAACGTAAGTGTGATGTATGATTTTTTGAGGGACCTTCGCCACCCATATAAATAGGTCTTTAAATTATGCATACCAATGGACGAGACGTTGACTTGGGATCAACCGTTGAATAGTCAACGACAAGGATAGCCACTTCAAACTAAATCTCTTAGTCTCTATTACATCCACTTATCTCCTCCTCCATTCTTCTTGTTATTTATAAATTAGTATTTCATTAGCCATCTATTTTCACTACTTCGATTTCAACTACCACAAATGATCTTACCTTAAATAGGACTCTTAAATCAATATATGATCTAATCATAAAGCTTAAGTTAATATTCCAATACTTCCTTCAAACTCGAGTTTTATTTACATAGAAAAAGAAATACAAATTACAATACCGAGAGTTACAATCCATTATACATTTATTTATCATGCCTGTAACAGTAGTAACATAAGTTACAAAACAAGCAATCAAGAACAGTCTGTTCTGCTAGTTCGATTTTAACGTAGAGAGAGAACATAGTTTCTTTATCTGCTTCATCTTCCGGCTTTTACATCAAATCCCAATTTGTTCTCTAAACTACGGTACCCGACAGAATCCAAGGTAGAGCTCATAGATGATTCACCAAGCAATGTTTCGCATTCCTTGGGTGCATGGTGTGTTGAAGAGACCTGTAGAAACCCTCCTAACAAATGCAGTTTCTCAGCCACTTCTCTCATTGTAGGCCTTTCATCCCCCTTGATGTTCAAACATTCCTTTGCAAGCTCGGCAATTTCTTGGATGACATCCATGTTTTCTTTTCCCACGATTTGATCATCCAATATCTCTTCAAGTCGACTATATTTCATTGATTCAATGAAGCTTGAGGCAAGAGCTTTTCCTTGACTACTTCCATCGTAATAAACTGCCTTTTTCCTTGTGATGAGCTCCACCAAAACTACTCCAAAGCTATAGACATCACTCTTTGCTGTTAGTTGACGGACTAGCAAATACTCTGGGTCCAAATAACCAAGAGTTCCCTGAACCATCGTTATGAATTGGGTTTCATCCAAAGACATCATCCTCGACGCACCGAAATCCGATACCTTTGACACGTAATTATGATCTAGAAGTATGTTGAGTGACTTCACGTCTCCATGAAGGATCGGAGGGGATGCCGATGAATGCAAGTAAGCGAGAGCTTCTGCAGATTCTGTAGCTATTCGTAAACGAGTAGTCAAGGGAATTAGTTTCCCGTCGTTGCTATGGATGAACTCAAAGAGGGTTCCATTGGGGATGAACTCATAAACCAACATGGGAATTTCCACTTCCAAGCAACAACCCAAGAGCTTTACAATATTCTTGTGATTGATTTGAGAAAGAATAATCATCTCCCGTATGAATTCTTCACTTTGGTCCTCGGTGACTACCTTAGACCTCTTGATGGCCACTACCCTACCATCGTCTAGGTTTCCTTTGTAAACGGTGCCATGGCCTCCTCGCCCAAGTTCTCGACTTTTATCGAAATTATCTGTTGCCTTCTTTAGATCCTCTTTGGTGTATATTTTGATGGTATCAATTTGCTTTGATCTGATTTCTTCATATAACCTCAAACCTCCATTTTGTTGGAAGAATTTATCTTTTTCTCTGAGAAGCTTCCTTCTTTGAAACACTAAGATTACGTAGAAGATACAAGTAATGAACGAGACAAACCCAACACAACTGCCTGCACAATGGCATGAGTTTCATGTCAATTATCTTGCAAACTCTTCCTGAGATTGAAATACAAGTTCCCAAAATAGAAGATTGTTACCGAAAAAGCCTATAAATGAAAATTAACAGGATAAAGAAATTTCAAGCTTTATTTAAGGAGAACGACTTATTAGAAATAAATACTCGAATCCGAATATATTATTTTTTCTTCTGATTGAAGTTTTAATAGAAGTTTAAGGTAATATGGAAGGATGAGGACTTGTACCTATAACAATCTTCGTTGATGTTTGAATTCCTTGATCTCGAACGCACGGTTCGGATTTAGGGTCCTTGCTGCTGTAACCTTTTGGGCATGAGCAACTGTAGTTGCCTGCTGTGTTGCTGCACTTTCCATGACATGGATACAGATTTGGCGAGCTGCACTCGTCGATATCTAAGGATTGTCAAAGAATCACAAGGGAAAATTGTAAGACCACATACAACAATCGAAAACAGGAGAGTTGGGGGAGAGATGCATGCTGACCTTTGCAGCCATCCTGGAGGTAAGGATTGCCTTGGAAACCTGTGGAGCAATTGCAGATATAGCCTTGTAAA